CCTCTCTGCCTCCAAACCCCCTGTTTCTTTGCTACTGTCTTATCCCTACTGCCTTTTCCTTTTCCCCTGAGCAACCAGTTTCTGCCTCAGTTTCTTTCCTGGCTGTCTCCTACTTGCCACCACTTATCTGACCCCGCAGCAGCAAACTGTTTTGTTTATATAGGCAGCCAGAGATCTAAAATGGCCACCACAATCAAGCACCTGCTGGCTGCTTGGCTCAGCCCTTAAGATAGGATATTCATAGATTGTTAAGGGCTGGAAGGGACCTCACAAATCATCAGGTCCAGCCCCCCTGTTCTAGGCAAGAAGACAACTGGGGTCAAGTGCCCCCAGAGAGGTGACTGTCCAGTCTCCTTTTGAAAACCTCCAGGGTGGGTGACTGCACCACATCTGGAGGGAGTTTATTCCACAGTCTGGACACCCTGACTCTGAAGGAGTTTTTCCTGGTATTAAGCCTGAAGCAGTCTTCCAGGAATTTGTATCCATTAGTCCTGGTCTTCTCCAGGGGTGCCTAGTGAACAGCTGTTCACTGAGCTCCTGATACACTCCTCTGATATAGTGGTAAGCCACTATCAAGTCCCCTCTCATTCTTCTCTTCTTTAGGATAAAGAGGCCAAGGTCCCTCAGCCTTTCCTTGTATGGCTTGCCTTGCAAGTCCCTGATCATATGGGTGGCTCTTTTCTGGACCCTCTCAAGTTTTTCCATGTCCTTATTGAAGTGTGGTGTCCAGAACAGGATGCAGTACTCTAGCTGTAGTCTCACCAGTGCTGAGTACAGTGGGAGTATCACTTCCTTAGTTTTACATTAGATGCATCAGCTGATGCATACCAGCATGTTATTTTCCCTGCTGGCCATCGCATTGCACTGACTTCATGTTCATAAGTTGGTCAATCATTACCCCTACGTCCCTTTCGGCTGTGGTGCAAGTCAGGCTGTCACCTCCGAGCCTGTATGTATGTTGTGGGTTATTTGCCCCCAGAAGAAGCACCTTACACTTGGAAGTATTAAACTTCATCTGGTTCTGGTCCGCTCAACTCTCTAGCTCATCAAGGTCCATCTGTATCTGTAACCTATCTTCTGGCATGGCCACACTGCCCCATAACTTGGCGTCATCCACGAACTTGGCCAGTGAGCTTTTCACTTCCTCATCCAAATCATTAATAAAGGTGTTGAAAATCATGGGTCCAAGCATGGACCCCTGAGGGACACCACTGGCCACTTTGCACCAGGATGACACAGATCCATTCATGAGAACTCTCTGGGTCCTACTGTGTAGCCAGTTTCTCACCCACTGAACCGTTAAGCAGCTGAGCCCATAATGTTCCAGTTTCTTCACAAGGATATCATGTGATACTAGATCAAAAGCCTTTTGGAAGTCTAGGTATATAATGTCCAGGTGATGAGAGGCCTGGTCATAGAAGGAGATGAGATTGGTAAGACAAAACCTACCCACAACAAAGCCATGCTGGCTGTAGTTCAGAATTGCACATAGATTCTTTGATAAGCTTTTCCAGGATTTTCCCTGGGATTAAGG